TTTTAACTTTTAATTTTTAGTTTTACTTTTTATTAATTACAAAATTTATAAAAATTAAAACTAAAAACGCAAAATTACAAATATATTAAACAGAGATTGGGCCAATAATTTTGATTATTAAAGTTGAAATACTTATAGATATAACAATTCCATGACTCTAATGGTTTGGATCTACTAATAATCAAATGTTATTTTGTAGTTAAGATCTAGAGTTTCAGTTTTAAAGTTCAAATTCAAAAAAATTAATTTTTTAAATATATCAAACTAGTGTAAGCGACATGCTTTTAAGATTATTTAGAAAGAATTTTCTTTATAGATACTCAAAAACATTTTAATTATTAAAATTGAAAATAATAATAATAATAACAGTTTGATAATTGACATCCTTGTGATGAAACCGAAAGGCCCTAAACTTCTATCACGGAAGGAAGAATAAATTTTTGAGGAAATCCATATGGGAACAATGGGTGATGATGGTGTAGTGGGTCACAGCTTTAAAAACTGTCATGAAATTGGAAAGGTGGTGTTAGGTAATTAGTATGGCCAAATCCTACCCCACAGAAAGCTTCTCCTCATCAACCAACATTGAATGGATTATTGAATGGATTAGGTCTTGGGCAGAGGAGCCTCACCTGCTCCACATGAAAACACTCTCAAATTCATAATTCTTAAAATAAATTGTTTCAAAATGGTAAATATGAAACAGGTTTTTATTTTCTGATAAAAACATATTGAAATAGTAAAAAAAAAAAAAGTCAAACAATAAGATATAGAATAAGATATATGGAATGCCTAGAAAGGAATAATAGAGATGAGAGTATAATAAAAAGTACAATATGTAAGGTAGAGAATTTAATATAATAATATATAATGTGAAGGGAGAAGTTGAGAGATGCAGTCCCAAAAAACAATTATTGAGAGATGGACTAAAGGTAAATGAAAAATTAAGTATTAAGAGAATAATGCTAATAAGTCCAAGCCTTTAATGTTTTGATTTAAAAATATTTTTAATCTATAAAAGAAGAAAGATGAAGACAAATGAGTTAAAAAAAAGATATATAACAATAGAATATACATGTGCAATAAATTATTAACAAAGAGCAATAGAAAAGAGAGGATAAGGAATAAAAAATAATAAAAATAAATGGCTATTATAGAGAGGTGTCTATAAATAAATAAATTTAAATACACACATCCACACAAAGACATGAAGATTACACACCCACACGCACAAACATATGAAAATAATACAAGAGATAAAGGTGAAAGGGATTTGAAAAAATAATGAAAGTCTCAGCTAATATGAAAAAATATTAGATTAAAAAGAGAAATGAGGAGAGATACATCTATTAAGTTAAACCTAAATTAAAATGCATAATAATAACATAAGTATATGATGACGAAACAAATTAGAAAATTAAAGGTGCTTCATAGAAAGATATATAATAACAAATTATGAAAATTTTTCTTTACTTTTTAAAATTAAATTGATTAAATTTTTACATTTAAATATTTTTTTCATACCTACTATTTAAACCTTTTTTTAATAAATACATTTAAAATTAATAATTATGAAAAAGTACTATAAGTTGTATTTCTAGTTAATTATTATTATAAAAATTTATAATTATTAAAGTTATCTTTTAAAAAAATAAAAGGAACAACATGAAGTATGGGTTAAGGACTTGTGTTGTAAGGATAGAAATTAAGAGGCAATTACTACATTTTTACCAATTAGTTTGTATTGAAAAAGAGAAAATTTTATTTTTAATTTATTAATCATACGTATAATTAAAATCATACAAGTGAAATTGATATAAAAATTAATATCAATTTTTATATTTTTTATATAAATTAATTATTAAAAAAATATATTAATTATATATTTTTTAAGATGTACCAACCAATAAAAGTGTATTGGGGCAGAAGTTTAAAAACTCCCAATAAATAAATCTTCTGCAACAAAAAAAATCCCTCCAACCATAAAACTTGATTGACTTTATTCAACCACTTCGATGCCTCCATTGGCTAGTCAACAACTCTTGGTATTCCTATAACAAGATGCTTTTTCAACTCTAAGCTCTTTTAATACCATAAATGGGGTGTCTTTGTATTTGTGTCGTATTCCTAATTTTTTTTTTTTTTTGGTGGAATGAAGAGTAATATTAAACTAGAAGACAAAGATACAAAATAAACTAACGTATTCCTAATTACAAGACACGTTAAGGATTTGTCCAATCAATAAAAGAAAATTGTTTGGCAATCCGTACGGTAATTGGCTTGTATATACATTAATTGGGAGAAGATGCGAAGTTTGTTGTTTTGTTGCTCACGTGCAATTCTCCGCCACCTGTTTTCAGATGAGTCCATACGTAGTGTCTGCTAAATGCTAATCTTTTGCTTCTTCTCTTTTTTGGCCCTAGTTGGCCAATTATAAGGATTTTATAATTACAAAACCATTGTCACCTTGTTAATTAGGGTTTTTTTTTAAAAAAAATATATACAATCTTTGATTTCATTATCTACTTTATTTGCTTATTATAAATAAAATTTAAAATCTTTTATTTTTATTAAAAATCTTTATTAAATCATTTAATAAGGACGGTTGCTTGATAGTTAAGCTTACTATTTGACCACGTGTTCTTCTCTTTACCTTTATTACAGTAGTAACTTAGTGCATATACGCGTGTACATATATATATATTTTTTTATGTTAATTACATAATAAAAAATAATTTTTTTCATTTTTCTTCTTATTTTACCCTCTTCTTATATCATGCTACCATTAAACCATTTACGTCCTTGGTAGTGCATCTATATATATATTTTTTGATGTTAATTACATAATAAAAAATAATTTTTTTTATTTTTCTATTTATCTTATCCTATTCTTATATCATGCTACTATTAAACCATTTACGTCCTTGGTAGTGCATCTATATATATATTTGAATTTGAATCTGTTGGTAGTCTTTTGACTGTTGAAGATCTTGATTAAACCTTGACAAGATGAGGAGGGGACTAATATATTTTTTAGGTACTAA